CCTCGATCGCAGGCGGCTCCTCCGGCTCCCGGCCCGGGATATCACTACGCGTGTACTTGCTAAGCAAGGAGACATGGAACACCAGGTGCACCGGCACCGACTTCGGCAGGACTAATTCGTAGTCCAAGTCTCTGAGCTTTCGCCGCACGGCATATGGTCCGAGGCACTTGGGACTGAGCTTCTTGCTCGGCTGTTTCAGCTTAAGGTTCCAGGCATCAAGCCAGACCTTGTCCCCTGGCACGAAGACCAGTGCCTCCTGCACGTACTTATTGTAGTACACCTTCATGCGCTCAGCTGACAGCTCGAGCGCAGAGCACGTGTCGTCCCTGATCTCCTTCAGGGTCTTGAGCCGATCGGCAGCAGCGGGCATTGCGGACATTGGATTGATCCAAACCTGGATCTCAGGATGGTACCCCTGATGCAGGAAGAAGGGGGAGTGCCCGGTCGCAGAGTGAACTCGGTTGTTCAATGCAAATTCTGCAAGCAGCAACTGCTTCGCCCAATCATCCTGCCTGTGGCTGGTGAAAGCACGCAGGTACTGCTCAATCTCCTGATTCCAGCACTCAGTCTGGCCGTCTGTCTGAGGGTGAAATGTGGTAGATAGCGCTGGCTCGATTCCCAGCCCCTTGTACACTGCATGGAGATATTTCGAAGCGAACTGGGGACCTCGGTCTGATATGACCTTGGCCGGGGCCCCATGATGCTTGAACACATCACAGATGTACAAGTCTGCCGCACCTTCTGCCGTCAGGGTCTCATGACAGGCCGAGAAGTGGACCTGCTTGGTAAAGCGGTCGGCAGTGACCAGGATCAAGTCGAACCCATCAGACTTCGGCAAGCTGACAATCATATCAGTCGTGATGATCTGCCACGGGCATTCAGGGATCTCGTTCGGCTTCAGCGGACCCTGGGGCTTGGCTGGGAATGTCTTGGTACGGTTGCATACGTCACAGGTGCTTACGTGCTCATTGACAAATTTGGACATCCCAGGCCACCAGTAGTTCCGCGATACGAGCTTGAGGGTTTTGGCACGACCACCATGACCAGCGATTGGTGAGTCGTGGTGGATCTTGACTATATCCTGCTGGAGCTCTGCATTCTTTGGGACATACACGCACCCGTGGAACAGCAGAAGCCCTTGTTCGGTATTCCACTCCTCAAAGCCCCGTCACAGCCGGGGTGGTCCAAGATCCTGCACCTTTTCAAGTGCCTCGGCCACTACACGATCCTTCTCCGAACATTCCCTGATGCACTTCAGAAGCGACTAATTGGCCGTTACTGAAGCATGGCCGTGTCTGGCAGAGGCGATGCAGAATCTTTCCGGTTTGAAAACCACCTGATCGGTGTTATCATTCTCATTGCTGATCTGATGGTCTGTCACGAGTTGGCATGGTGTCTAGCCATTTTTTAATTTTTTCCTTTTCACGGGCTTGAACCCGTGACCTCTGTACTATATGCCTGATACGGACACATCATATCTACTGTACAATCAGATTAGATAGGATGGCAGTGCGCGGCACGGCTCGGGCTCCACTGACACAGCCGCTCTGACTCACCGGCCCCCGAGGCCACGTCAGCATGCTGTGCACGGACCAGCTGTGCATGGACCAGTGCGCACAGCCTCCCCTAAACATCACCTGTATATAAACCTACCTCTGCTACCCTAGGGACCTCAGTTTTGACCTCTTGTCCCTAGGTCAGTAAGCCTCTCCTGTATTCTTTCTTACCTTGACTAATATATTCACTTGTTCCTAGCCTTAGGTTTGAGCCTAGCTCACCATTGCTTCAGTAAGATAAGTCGAACACCCCCAGCATTTGGTTTTCCCCTGTCGCTCAACCCTAAGTCACGACATTAGGTCGAAACTCCCCAATGCTGCCGGCGTTCCAAAACAAACACTCACCTTTCCTCTCCCATAGGTCAGGTGGTGCGCACCTTTACTATACCCTACAATATGTAGATAGCCTACGGTACATTGCCACCACTTAAGGGATGAACTCTTTGGTATTTGCACTTCAGTGGGCAATACTTGTCCTCCCGGACGTGTGGCTTAGGTTCCTGCTGCATACTAGTCAAAAGCAGTACTGGGCCCCACGTGAACTGCGAACCTTAGTGTCTTCTCAGGTGCCGTAGGTGTAAGCTAGCTAGCATGGCCTTTCGTAGCACGCGCACCTCCCCTTCCTTCCCCCATTACTGTGGCTGACAAATTTCTTGACTGCTCTCAACTTGAGCACGCCTTTGACACCCAGGAGCAGGTTGACGTCTCTTGCAACAACCCAGAAAGCAACGGAAACCGAGCCCCTTTCTTCATCTGTGATTGGCAACCGTGCCCTAATCGCACTCCACGGTCCATCACTGCCGACGAAGGGCGCTACGTGCTAATCCGACGAGTCCAGCACCCCAGCGGCCCTGCACTCCAGTACGCTGGCACTTCGAGATTCACATCTCGCCACATCACTTCTGCCCCGTCTTGACCCGCCTCCCCAGGCACCCACATCCCCCAACCTGTTGCCAGTACAAGTCAAGTGCAAGGAGATCCCCATCTCCTTCGAGGAACTGAGGTAGTCACACAGCCTACAGCGACCCCTCAAGTGATCCCCCAGTCCTCCTTGGGGCCGCAGTTGGAAAGACCTCCCAAGACCAAGCCCCGCAACACTCCACCGCATTCTTGGGCTGGCTTGTCATCAGCGGTCATCGCCTCGACTTCAGTCCCTGTCCTACGTCACCCCGCCTCCGGGCTTCCTCAATTATCTTCACCGCCATTGCCACCGTGAGGCTGCTCAAGCACTCGTTCCTCACGAAGTTTGCCTGGCAGACAGTCACAACAGTCGCCTCTGTCTGCGGGTAGTCCTTCGTCCCCCTCGTTGCCGATAATGTCCTCTCCCACTGCCATCCCTGATAAGGAGACGTTGAAGCTCCTCCTCCCGCTCCGATATGACAGGAAGTCGGTGGTCGAATGCAACTGCTTCATCTCACAGTTGCTCATCTACTGGACAATCAACATGGCCCTCTCTTCCCTCAAGCTGAAGATCCAGGTTGCCCTCAGTCTCCTCGATGGAGATGTGCGAGCTTGGGCCACCCCCATCTTCTCCCAGCTTGCCTCCGTCCAAATTGGGATCCAGGGAGCGACGACCCCCTTCGCCAACAAAGCAGCCTTCCTTAAAGCATTCAAGGCCCGCTTCAGCAATCTTGATGACGCCGCCGCTGCACAAGTAGAGCTCACCAAGCTCTGCACTGACAAAACCATGCGCAAGAAATGCACCGCCACCGAATTCTCTGCGTTATTCAAGGGTCCGGCAGACCACTCCGGGTATGGTAACCTGGAGCTTCGCAACAAGTACCTGAGCAGCATCCCCTCCTGGGTCTACCGAAAAATCGAGCTCGAGACGTTCGCCACATGGCAAGAAGCCGACACGTGTGCCACCGCAGTCGAACAGATCCTCGACGTCAGCTGGGCCTGTCAGCCTGAGCTGAACAACTTTTTCTCGGCACGAGGTCGAGGACGCGGTGGGGCACGTGGTGGTGCACCCTTGTCACACGGAGCTTTGGCCAGCCTCAACGCGACCGTTGGAAAAGGGGACTTCCCCGGTAGTTGTTTTGGCTGTGGGAAGCAAGGGTACCGACGTTTCGAGTGCCCCAACTGTAAGGATAAGCCTTACACAAAACGCGCTGACACGCAGGCTACAGTTGCCTCGGGTTCCACCCAGGTGGTGACAAGCGCCCCCATCGCTTCATTCTCGGCAAATACAAGCGTCGCTTCAGCAAAATCGGAAAGTTCCGAGCTGGCGGACTTGATAGCACAAATGAAGTCGATGCGTGAGGAGCTTGAGTATTATCGGGCCATGAAGGAGAAGGGTTTTTGATCCAGTTCACGCTTTGTGCCGCACGTGTCGGGCCGTGAGTATCATGTAACAAATACAATATACTGTCTTCTGCAATGGTGTACGAGTTGGACCAGGGGTCCCAGCATTTTCACATTCCAGTAAGACTTCAAGAAAATTGTGGACAGTGGAGCCACTACAAAGTTCATTAACAAGCGATTCATTACGGAAAACAAGGTGCAGACGCGGAGGCTAAAGGAGCCAATTCCGCTATACAATATTGATGGCACCCTAAACAAAGATGGCAGCATCTCAGAGGTAGCCGTTCTCGAGATGCAGATCGGAGACCACAAGGAGAAAACAGTCTTTATGGTTACGGACATTGATCTGTAGGATGTAATTGTCGGGTTGGATTGGCTGTGAGAGCACAACCCCGAAATTAATTGGGAAACAGGCTTCCTAAGACTGTCACATTGCCCTGAAACGTGCAGCGCCAAAAAGCTAGCCAAATGGAACAAGCAGCAACTGCATGTGATACGGGGGTCAGGCCCATGGCGCGCAGGCGTTCGCCAAAGTCCAAACGGTCTATTATAGGCACCTGCTGGAGTAAGGTACTCCCAGACTTCGAACCCGAGGAAGATCCGGTGGATGTCGAGTGGGATGAAGCCAACTTGATCGAGGCCTGGGAGCAGGGTATTACGCTTCCTGGTGCTCCTCAACTGTTTGTTGCAGCCGGGCACATGTATTCCCAGCTGTTTGCTGAGGAAGAAATCAAGAAGAAGGTCATTAAGACCGCCAAGGAGTTAGTGCCGAAACAGTATCACAAGTTTCTGAAGGTCTTCTCCAAGGAAGCATCAGAACAGCTACCAAAAAGAAAGCCGTATGATCACGCAATCAAACTCGTACCCAGTTACTTAACCTTCCACTCAAAGGTGTATCCCTTGTCGAACAATGAGCAGGAGGAACTCAATAAATTCCTAAAGGAGCAGCTGGTGAAAGGCTATATATGGGAATCGATGTCACGACTTGGTACGGCGTCTAGCCATTTTTTAATTTTTTCCTTTTCGCGGGCTCGAACCTGCGACCTCTGTACTACATGCCCAATATGGACATATCGTTATCTACTGTACGATTAGATTAGATGGGGCGGCAGTGCACGGCACAGCTCGGGCTCCGCTGACACAGCCACTCTGACTTACCGGCCCCTGGGGCCACGTCAGCATACTGCGCACAGACCAATGCGCACAGCCTGCCCTTATCTTCCCCTGTATATAAGCCAGCCTCTGCTACCCTAGGGACCTCAGTTTTGACCTCTTGTTCCTAGGTCAGTAAGCCCTCCTTTGTACTCCTTTCTTACCTTACTAACTAATGCATTTACTTGTCCCTAGCCTTAGGTTTGAGCGTTGCTCACCATCGCTTCAGTAAGAATCAGTCGGACACCCCTAGCCTTTAGGTTTTCTCCAGTCGCTTGACCTCAAGTCGCGACATTAGGTCGAAACTCCCCAAGCTGCCGGCGTTCTCTTGGGACTTTTTACATTCACTTTCATTTCCCACAGGTCGGGTGGTGCGCACCCCTATGATACTCTATGGTACATATGATACGTAGATAGCATACAATACATCACCAACACTCGAGAGACAAACTCTTCAGTACCTGCGCTTCAGTGAGCGGTACTTGTCCTCACGGACGCGTAGCCTTGGTTTCTGCTGCATAATAGTCAAAAGCAGTATTGGGCCCTACGTGAACTGCGAATCTCAGTGTCATCTCGGGCGCCGTAGGTGTAAGCTAGATTAGCATGGCCTTTCATAGTACGTGCACCTCCCCTTCCTCCCCCCATCCAACGTGGCTACCTATCAAGGCCAGATCCACGCATTCGACTCTCAGGATCTCATTGACGTCTACATCCCAGACGGCCCTGAGACTATCCTCTACCGTTGCGAGCAGCAGCCATGCCCGAACCGAACACCCCGATCGATCGCAGAGGACTACCCACGCTACAAAGCGATCCGACGAGCGCAACACCCGCTTGGACCCCAAAGCACCCTCACATCTCGATCGGCCTCGTGGCACTCTCGCCCTGTCTCCCCTAGCTCCCGCCTCCCTCAAACTGTCGCTGATCAAGTATGAGGAGATCTCCCTCCTGACCCTGCGCCAGAGCCTGAGCCTGAGGAGGGTGTAGGTGAAGAAGGAGTCTCGGAGCCCGAGTCCGCAGATTCTGCTCGGTCCACCTCGCCGACAGCGCTCGCCCCCGCGTCAGCAGTCCCTGATGTACGTGACCCCCCCGCCAAACTTTCTCCAGTGCCTCCACCACTGACTCCGCCGAGAGGCCGCTCGAGCACTCGCTTCTCCCAAAGTTTGACCAGCGGAGGGCCACCACAGCCGCCTCCGCCCCCGCAGCATCCTCCGTCCCCCGACGCCGGTAATGTCTTCCCCCTCGACCGCCCCTAACAAGGAGACCCTGAAGCTCCTCCTCCCACTCCGATATGATGGCAAGACTGTCATCGAATGCAACAGGTTCTGTCACAATGTGCTCTGCCACAGTCCCCTGGTCGGCCTAGGGCGATCCCCCGGTGGCGGGAGCCACAACACCATGTGACCACATGGTTGTATCAATTGCGGAGCAATCGGACCGGACCAGAGCTCCGGCCACACTTCTTTTGTTCCATTGTTCCTGTGGCCAAGTGGCCCTTGTTCTCCTTTTGGACTCTATTGTTCTTTCTTCTGTTGTTCTGCCGTGGGAATGCTTTCCCCTGCTCATATATATATATAAAGACCTGCTGTAGCGTCCTTTAATATATACTTCTGTGACCCACTTCGACTTCAGCCCCACTTGTGGCATTCAGTCCCTCAGTGCTAGTCCTGTGCAACTGCTCCCTGCGTCGCCTTTTGATAGGTTATGAGCCCCGCGCTCTAGCAGTCAACTACACACACTACTAGCGCGCCACAGAGTCAATCACTTCGATTTTCGGACCACTCCTTGTCCCAATACTCTCATATCTTTCCCTCTTGCCACAATCTGCGCTTTCACTCTCTGCCACTCTGCTTGTGCCACAAATGTCGAACCACTCGTCCTCTCCCTCCTTCCCCAAGCTCAATGCCTCCAACTACAAGTCCTGGGCTGGGGACATGGCTGCCTGGCTGCGCTCTGCAGGCCTATGGCGCCTTGTCTCTGGTGCCTACCTCAAGCCACAAGCCAAGGACCCCAAAGCCCCCACTGAAGCGGAGGCCACACTACTGGAGAAGTGGGAGGTGCAGGAGGCAAAGGCTGCTGGGTGGTTGTACTTGATGGTTGAAGCGGACCAAAAGGTGCATTTCTCCAACATTGACA